GGTGGTTTGGGAGGGAGGGAGGAACAGGCTACCCCAGCGATCGTGGGGGTCGTGCGCGCTGGAAGAGACCATCCCTGACAGGAGGAGGAGGGGTGCTATTGGGGTAGGAGGAGAGAAATAAAAGGAACCACAGCAGGCAGACGGGAGAGGGAGATGACCCCCAAGCATGGAGCTGTAGAGAAGGGGCAGGGAGGCTGCTGAGTAGAAGGGAAGGGGAGGGGATGACTTCAATGGAAGGGGCCAGCCCAGACCTGAGGAAGGATGGGGGAGGTGGGGAGCAATGGAAGAGACTGTGGAGGGTTTGGGGTGGGGGCATGGTGTAGGAGCGAAGGCTGTGACAGCAGGTGAAGGGCAGCCTTGAGTGTAAGAAGGAACCATCCCAGCAGGACGGGTGTGTAAGGAAGGGGGGTAGGCGATGGCAGGCTGCCCTCCTGACCTAGTCCCCGTTGGCAGGTGGGGGAAGGACCTGAAAGGGTTGAAGAGACACCTGCCACCCATAGAGGAGGGAGCTACAGGCCCAGGGGGTGGAGGTGTGGGGAGAGGAAGCTGAGTGGGAAAAGCCACCCTTTGGTGAAGTGAAGAGGGGACACCTTGGGATTGGGCTGGAAGAGACCACATGTGGGGAGGGGGGCGGGGGAAGGCGGTGGAGACTGGAGGAGACCACTTAAGGCACGATCTGGGGGTCGCCAAAGCGGGTGGCAGGAGGCCCTCAGTTGGAGGTCTGGGTGGGCAAGCGGTGGGGTTGGGAGAGGGCCCAGGCAGGGTCAACACTACCCAAGCCCTCCCCTCCTGTCCCCATCCCTCAGAGGGCCACCACTCAGTGAACAGCTACAAGGCCTGCATGAAGTTCAGCGACTGCTACTCGGGTTTCGTGTCCACCACCATGGGCCCCAAGGACTACATGGTGTCCAACACGCACTGCTGCCAGAGTGACGGCTGCAATCAGGGCTCGGTGCCCCGTAAGTGCCAGCTCCCCCGGCCTCAGGAGTCTCTTCCAGCCAGTGTGTGTGCCCTCGCCCACCGCCCATCTGTGCGCTGTAACAATGGGCAAGCACCTTGCTCGAGAGCCTGTTTCTGCTCCTGTAAATGCAGGGTCCATAACCACAGTTCCTTGGGGTTTATTGTGAGATTGGGGGGGGGGCTTCCTAAACGTCTCTTTGTACCTTGTACTCCACCCTCCTCCCAGCTCCCCAGAACAACCGTACTGAGAATGGCCTCCAGTGTCCCGCCTGCATCGTACCCTTCCAGGAGACGTGCCCGGGGACCCAGGCAGCCCGCTGTGTCGGCCAGGAAACCCACTGCATCTACTTCGCTGGCAAAGTGCAGGCTGGTGAGGGGCAGCTGGATCTCGGAAGGAGGGCACAGGGGCCCCAGAACTGGAGGAAGCCCATGCTTCCAGGTTCTAGGGGAGATGGTGGCCCCAGAGAACGGGGTGAGGAGGTGGCAGGACCAAGATTTCTAGGTTGTGAGGAAGGAGCGGTTGGGGGCCCTGACTCCATTCTGAAACCCCCCTCCCAGGTATCATCAACACCAGGTTTGCCACTCGAGGCTGTGCCACCGAGAGTGCCTGCAATACCAAGCCTGGCGCTGAGGTGCCCTCAGCCTCCTATCTCTACTTCCTCCGCCGAGCAGACTGCCTTCCAGCCCCCCAGACCTCTGGCAGGGATGAGTGAAGAACTGAGGAAGGGGTGGCTTGAGGTCCCCATCTGTCCTCAGCCCGCAGCTCCCTGTGTGCCTACAATTAAACAGATTAACTGAGCAAGCCTGAGTCTTTGTAACGTGATGCATCGCAGGGAGGTGTGTTGTGGAGAGAGAGGGGGAAAACCCACTTTTACTAAGGGGTTACTCCATGCTGAGACCCTGTGCTAAATGTTTTCCATGCTGTACTTCATTTCATAATCACAGCAACTCTACCATTGACATCATTATCCCCATTTTACAGATAAGCAAACTGAGGCACAGATTAGGGTGTCATTTGCCTTGGGTCAACCCCTAGGGAGGATCAGAGTCATGATCACTTCTCCTGAGTAAGCTTGCCCTCTTTTTGCCTGTTTTCATGTCGGCAAAATGTGGATATTAATAGTTATAACCTCACAGAGTTGTAAGAGTGGTATAAAATAATAATAATAATA